CACCTGCCTCGGCCACCCAGAGTGCTAGGATTACAGGCGTGAGCCACAGCGCCCAGCCAAAAGGAATGGTTTTATAATAGAAACACAATGACACCAGGAAGCTTATTTTCTCATTCCTTCACCCAACAAATATTTACTGAGCACCTATGTACCACGACTTATTTCAGGTAGTGGAGACACATAGCAAAAGAGAAAGACAAACTCCCCCACCTTCGGGGAATTTACATTAAAACAAAGGAGCTGCTCATGCCTGTAATCCTAGCACTCTGGGAGGCCAGAGGCGGGGCAGATCGTTTGAGCTCAGGAGTTCCGGACCAGCCTGAGCAAGAACAAGACCCCATCTCTACTAAAAATAGAAAACAAAGGCGCTGGCTGGGTGCAGTGGCTCACGTCTGTAATCCTAGCACTTTGGGAGGCTGAGGCAGGAGGATCGCTTGAGGTCAGGAGTTTGAGACCAGCCTGAGCAAGAGCGAGACCCCCATCTCTACTAAAAATAGAAAAAAGTTAGCCAGTCAATTAAAAATAGAAACAAAAACTTAGCCAGGCGTGGTGGCTCGCACCTGTAGTTCCAGCTACTCAGGAGGCTGAGGCAAGAGGATAGCTTGAGTCCTGGAGTTTGAGGTTGCTGTGAGCTACAATAATGCCACTGCACTCTATCCCAGGAGACAGAGTGAGACTTTGTCTCAGAGAACATAAATAAAAAAATAAATAATAAAGCAAAGGAGCTTAAAGCATTGGCTTTGGAGTCCAGCTTTCAAATCCAGCTCCATCAGTACCAGAAGAGGCAAGAAGGTCATTCACAGCTCAGCTTGCTCACCTTTATGCAAAGGTTTTATGAGAAAAATCTAAGTAATACAGTTCTAAATTTCCTAAAATATTTGAATCAATGCTGGACATTCCAGCTTGTTCTGACTCAGAGGAGAGGTGAAATTACAAAGTTTCAGTATGTTCCTATTCACTTATTTTGGGCCACAGGAATTGTGAAAGAATGAAACTTCAGAAACAGTATTGCTTTTGGTTTTATTTCCTTTGCCTTTAACATTTTGTGCTTTTTGCTTGTTTGTTTTTAGATCCTCTTGCCTTAGCCTCCTGAGTAACTGGGACTACAGGTAAACGTCCCCACGCCCTGCTAATTTTTCTATTTTTAGTACAGACATGGTCTCTCACTTGTTCAGGCTGGTCTCAAACTCCTGAGCTCAAGCAATCCCGCCCCAGCCTCCCAAAGTGCTGGGATTACAGCTTGCTCACCTTGAAAATGGAGAGAATAGTACCTATCTTACAGTATTATTGTGAGGATTAAGTGAGACTCCATATAAAGCAATTAGCAAAGTACCTGGCACCTAGTAGATTTTTGATAAATTATATACTCCGATCACTACCATACCCAAATTAGTCCTATCACGTTCCTGTTCCTCTCTTTCAGAACCCTTATTTCAGCTGGCGGTTATCTCGCCTGCTTTATTATCTGACTCCCGCACTACTCCCAAATGTTCAACGTTAACCAGATGGCAAAGTGAATTAGACAGAGGAAACCCCACTCTAGAAGGAGCCCCTTACTGCTGACTAGAGGGCAAAGAAGAAATGAAGGCTGCTGTAAAGCAACCACTTTCCACCAAAGCCGGATTTCAGGCCACAAGTCCTCAGTGAGAAATCACCAGGAGGGGAGTGGGAAAATGAGGAGCTTGAGGCCCACGGAGATGGTGAGAGTAGAGAGACTGTGTCTTCCTGCTTCATAATAATTAAGGCTCTCCTGCCGCTCTGAGTCTCATCCAGGCAAGTGGATTTGCGACCTCTCAGCTGATGAAAACCACCACCACAATGGGAGTAAAAGTGTGCTATCTTGTTTCTTACCTGTTGATGAGCCACCTGAGCCCAGGAGGGTTTAGAAGTGGCCTCAAGCCCAGTTACTGGTTTTGTTCCCAAAGGCAGAGAGGACTTGAGTCAAAGAACCCGGATTCTCTAGGCAAAAGCAGTTGAGCATCAAGGGGTACATCTAATGGCCCAGACCTGCTCCTGTCCAGCACTCATTTTTGAGATGTTAAACTTGGAAGGACTATACTGGACCAGGAGGACCTGCTGCCCGGAGCTACTATTCTGATTCTTGGGTCTCACAAGCAGCCCCACAGCAGCCATGGAGCAGGAAACAAGCACCAGCACACTAGAGTATAGTACCTGCTCACACCTCAGGCCAAAGGCACAACGCCCCAGGCTCTACCTGTAATTCCACCTTCCTAGTCCACCCTTTCTTATCAAGTCCCTGCCCTCCTGCACTCCAGCTTTTGTACTTAGATTCTCCTTCCCTGTCAAGCCCATTCAGAATGATGACTGGCAAGAGTGGTCTTCCCAGCTTTCCACCTAGGTAATTTCCCCAAGAAGTTGCCCCCTCTCAGGTTATGGCCTCCACTCCAGCCTGCCACCACCTGTGGGGATGTGCCCCACTCAGCCTTGGGCCCACAGCAGGCCTCAGGCCCCCAGTTCCCTGGTCCCTCACTCGTCTGATATCAGGTTCCATGTACCACGCACAAAAATATGGCAAGTCTTGCTTAGTGGTTTGTAACTAAAATTAAACACATAGGCAGGCTGGGCACAGTGGCTCATACCTGTAACCCCAGTGCTTTGGGAGGCTGAGGTGGGAGGATCACTTGAGGTCAGGAGTTTGAAACCAGCCTGAGCAACACAATGAAATTCTGTCTCTATAAAAAATTTTTTTAAACATTAGCCAGGCATGGTGGTGCATGCCTGTAGTCATAGCTACTCAGGAGGCTGAAGCAGGAGGACTGCTTGAGCCCAGGAGTTTGAGGCTGTAGTGAGCTATAGTCACACCATTGCACTTGAGCCTGGGTGACAAAGCGAGACCCTATGTCTCAAAAAAAAAAAAAAATTAAATTAAATTAAATTAACAAAATGAGAATGTAATGTTAGCTGGCATTTAGTACATGCTTACCATACACCAAGCACTGTGCTAAGCTCTTTTCAAGTATAAACTCACTCACTCTGCCCAACCAGCCTATGAGGTAGGGTCCTGCTATTAACCCACTTTACAGAAGAAAAACTGAGCCTTAAAGAGGCTAGGAAAGTTGCCCCAGATCACAAACTAGAACCTGGCAGAGCCATGATTCAAACCCACACAGTTGTGTTAAAGGGCTCAGCTCTGCCCATACTCCTGTAATGCAGAAAACCACAAATATGCATTCAGTCCCTGCCCACAAAAGGCTCACAGCACAGCCAGGAAAGCAAGCAGAGACACTGGGTTTTAGCCACAAAAATCTGAGTTTCTCAATTCATAGTAGGGCATAGCTTTTCCTTTAATGATTCTCTTAAACAACAGATAAACATACAACTTGTACAGTTGAGAACTTTTTTACTGATGAAACAAAACTGACTACAACCAAAAGTAGAGGACAATTACATAATCTCTTTTAAAACTGGAAATGCCTCATTAAGAAAATATTTTCACATTCTTTCATGGGTACTAATGGCTAAAAAGGAAAGGACACTTATCTATAGCTAAGGATACAGTGCTTCTCATATCTAACCAAAAATAGGACATGAGAAATCCTAGGAAATTTAGTCTCATATTTGCTAATTTGACCTCCTCTTACACTCTCTACTCGTAAAATTCCCCATGGTAACATTCTTTTTTTTTTTTTTTCCAGACAGAGTCTCGCTTTGTTGCCCAGGCTAGAGTGAGGGCCATGGCATCAGCCTAGCTCACAGCAACCTCGAACTCCTGGGCTCAAACAATCCTTCTGCCTCATCCTCCCGAGTAGCTGGGACTACAGGCATGTGCCACCATGCCTGGCTAATTTTTTCTATATATATTAGCTGGTCAATTAATTTTTTTCTATTTATGGTAGAGACGGGGTCTCGCTCTTGCTCAGGCTGGTTTCAAACTCCTGACCTCGAGCAATCCTCCCGCCTCGGCCACCCAGAGTGCTAGGATTACAGGCGTGAGCCACCGCGCCCGGCCCATGGTAACATTGTAAGTGAGCCTAAAAGGTAGTTCTGACTCATTCTAAGAGAATGTTAAGCTGTAAAATTGGCAATGTAATGATCAGTCCTCTCAAGGAAGAGATTAAATAATTAAACAGAGTGTTGTTCCACTTATCTAGGCTCTTCCCATTGTCTTTTGATGCATCACCGGTGATTCAGTTTGAGTCAGGCATCCAACAACTGGGCAAGAGTCAATGCAGAAAAAAAAGATAGTGACACACAGGTGGATCAGACTCAGGCCAACACCCAGAGCAAAGGGCAGCAGAACTAAGTGGCACATTGTTAGGACAATGGCCAGGGCTCTCTATGTGAACTCACATTTATCATAATTTTAACTTTCCCCACATTTATCATATTTTTAACTTTTCTGTGGTCTATCTAAGGTGAAATGGTGGGGCACCTGATAATATTTGACACCAGAATGCCTTTCATTACTATAGTGTCCCTCTGGATCCCAGGACCTCTCCCCACCACAGAATCCAAGACAGAAAGGGAGGCTAAAGCTCACCAACTTTCACAAAGTATGCCACAGACAATGCTATATGTTCCCCAAATCCATTTCATTTTCCTCCTGATGATGCACAGCTAGACAAATTTCTCTGTGTCTACTACATTTAGGTGGGGCCGGCCACATGACCGAGCTCTGACCCATGGGATGGGGAGGAAACGATGCACATCACTTTCGGGCCTGGTCCCTAAAAACTCTTATGAGATGCTTCACACACTCTCCCCACCCCCATCCACTAGCCAGATGCAGAGGACCCTACAGAAAACTCTTAAGACCTCAGAAGATAATGGAGCCACTGAATGACCATAGGGCACAAAGCTCCCCTGGCCCAATCTACACTAGACTGTGACATGAGTGAGAAACAAGCCTCTGCCGTGTTGAACCACAGATTCTCACAGTGGTTTATTACAGCAGCCAGTGCCGATCGCTCCGATGGAGACTACTCGCCTGACAGGATTGCACTGTGGGGCACCAGTTAATCTGCAGCTTCCACACCTACCTGCATCATTGCCAATGCAATCGATGATCAGGCAGACTCCTAGGGGCTTGCTCTGCATCCTGTATCTCTCTTCAGGTATGCGCTAGAAAGAAAGGCAGGAATTGTTAAAGACTCCAGATACTGCTCTGGTTCCTATAAGGTCCCATCCATGCTGTCTCTTCTGTTTTGTTTCCTCAATAAGCATCCCTTGGGCAGATGACTCACTCAACAGACACAGCCTAAAGTTTCCCATCACAGCTGACAGTTCACACTAATATCAATTTTTTCCTTATTAAGGTAATGTGCTTAAGACAAGATATTTCAGTTTTCATTTAATTGTAATGAAAATTGCAGCCTCTTTTCCAATGTCTTCACTTAGCAGAATAAAAGAATTTGAAACTGAGAGAAAAGACAGATCCTAAGTCTCCACAGTAACCTGAAGGTTTATAAGTGATACTTTTCCAAACCAGTGCAAAAGGAGTCCTTCTATTGCCTCTGCTTACAGAGAAGAGGCTAGAACAAATGAAAGTTCAGTGAGGTGTCACTGCCTGCTTCTATGAGCAGCAGTCACTCAGCTGAGACGAGATGTCACTTTGGAATTAGGCTGTATTCCAAAGTTCAAGAAGGCAATCCACGCTAACATCTTTCTGTTTGCTACATCCAGAGTTCCCTCTTAAATGAGTTCTCAGAAGAACAACACTCTCCACATCCCATTGTTGCAAAGAATTCTTAAAAAAATATTATATTTTTTATCTATTTATTTTTTTGAGACAGAGTCTTGCTTTGTTGTCCAGGCTAGAGTGAGTGCCGTGGCATCAGCCTAGCTCACAGCAACTTCAAACTCCTGGGCTCAAGTGATCCTACTGCCTCAGCCTCCCACATAGCTGGGACTACAGGCATGCGCCACCATGCTCGGCTAATTTTTTCTATATATATTAGTTGGCCAATTAATTTCTTTCTATTTATAGTAGAGACGGGGTCTCAATCTTGCTCAGGCTGGTTTCGAACTCCTGACCTTGAGCGATCCACCCGCCTCGGCCTCCCAGAGTGCTAGGATTACAGGCGTGAGCCACTGCGCCCGGGCGACAGGTATTTTTTTAAAGAAATTAGTGTTCTCTATATGTACTGTGCATATAATACAATACCAAATCAGATCATTTATTCTGTACCTGAGGAAAAAAAGCTCCCGATTCCTGAATGGATATCTTCACCGGTTCCCCTGGAGAATGGGAGAGAGAAATCATTTACAAAGCTGAAGGAGAACGAAGTCCACCCCCACACTGGCTGAGCTTCTATCACAACTATTCTCTTCCTCTATGTTCTTCAACTATCTTTTCTTTCCCCAGCTATACTCACCCCAAGGTTCCAATCTTGTACTGAAGAACCTGACTGATAAGATAACGCAGTCCCTGTGCTATACAAGGGCTATGTAGAAAAGCTGTTTAAAGTGAGGACCAGGTGGCTGATGGATTTTTAATCCAGTAGGGAGAATCTAATAACCTCACCTCCTAACAATATTGATAGCTTTTTTATGTGTGCTGAACCTGTTGTCAACACCTAAAGCAAACAGCCTTTGAAAGGGAAAGCTTATGTGTGTTTGCTAGTTATAGAACAGGTGGCCATGTTTTCATAGTCCCGTGATACTGAGAGATCATAAAATAAAATGTCAATGTCAAGACATAGGACAGTGAACCTGGCAAATGTAGATGAGCCTAAAGTAAAGACAGCATACAGGCTGAGCCATAAGACATCAGCAAAGGGCCTGCCACACAAACAAGGCCACTGCCCTATTCAAAACATCCATGATCCCCCACTGTACACAGGACAAATTCCAAGCCCCTGGGATAAGCCTGAAGCCCTCCATGGCAGTCCACCAATCCTGGCTTCCTGGTTCTGAAGCACAACCATCCGCTTCAGCCATGCGAGACTGAGTCTCAGCGCTCACTTACAGGAGGACTCAAGACAAGAAAAACAAATGAACTTTGTAAAAGTGATGTGATGGGATCAACTGCTGATGTTTTAATAAAGAAGGCAGAGATCATCCAGGATGAGATGATCAGGTTTTTTAATTGTATTTTTTCTTTTTTTTTTAGGGGAGAGGGGATATCATCTATAGAGTATCCAGATTTATTAAATGAGCTATAATACCCATTTGTAAAGCTATTGAATGCTTCTTCTTCCTGCCTCTTAACTATTTGGTTTACAATGGTTCATTATCATGACTGGAATAAAGGTTAACATGGCCTAGGTATAGCTCCATTTCAGGTATAAATGTCACATCCCTTAAAAATGTAGCCAAGAGGATGAAGCTGATGGAATAAGATGGTGTTTGAACTTAAATAAGTTAATGCCAACAAATACATCTTAACATTTTAACTTCTTTTTATTTTAAGAGCTTATTTAGAATAGGTAGACAAAGGAAATGGCCAACTCTAAAAATGCACCATTTTGTACTTGAATTAACAAGTATTTATAAAGAATGAATATAAAGAAAAGTTGATCTTACTTTGAATGCCATGTTGTTCCACAAGTCTTTGTTCTTTACTTCTCCCATTCTGGAGCTTTAAATATAAAAAATAAGGTCACACTCCCTGTTAGTCTTTTCAGAGGTACACTATATATTACACCTCTTTAAATATCTCAATAGGATTCTTACCCAGGAAAAAATAAAAATATCACCTTCACAGTTAAATACCTCAAAAAGAATAGCAGGAGCTGTTAACCCCATAAATCCCACATTATATTGCCAAAGAACATGGCAATTCTTCTTTTAAAAAGTGAAAATATAAGGAAAGTATAAATATGTTAAACTGGCATGTTAGGATATTTCAAAACAGCTCAATAAAACCAGATGTTATAGTATAGTATAGTAACTAGAATAGCTCCAACTTAGAATAAGCTGTGAGAACATGAGATTGACATTCAACTTGTTCCTCTAACACAGTACAGTACGGTTAAGAGTGGGAGTTCTAGGCCAGGCAAACCTGACTATGAATCCTCTGCTGCTTACTAGCTTTGTAACCTTGAGCAAGTTATTTAACCTTTCTCTGTTTCTTCATCTGAAAAATGAGGCTGGTAATAGTACTTACCTTATAGATTTTTTAAATGTACACGAAGCACTCAGCACAGCACTGAGCACATGGAAGCATATAATAAATGTCTAGTTATTGCTTTTCTATAATTGCCTAGCTACACATAAGCCACATGTGGGCCTGGTTCTTGATAATCAAGAATTCTTTATATACTACTTCTGAGAGCTAGAGTGAGATTAATCAGAGAATGTAAGATTGAACCGACCCTTTCTCTTCTCAGATGACAGGTCCTGTATAAGGTACACATACCACATACTGTCAACCATCTGATATGCTCTGCTTTCAAAGGACAGTGCTCTTCTGAAGCTATCCTAGCCAAAAGAGAGAAGTACACTATCCGTTAAGCTGTGTCTTTGGCTGAGTCTGTGTAAAAACTTAAAGAAAAACATATAATTTACTTTTTTCTTAATTAGAAAAACATATAAGTTGCTTTTTTCACTAATAATCAGTGACTTAGCCAGAAGCTAATGATAACAGATAGAAAGTGGTCCCCTACATGGATGTATATTCACTTTTATGTATTATTAGAGATAGATAACTTCAAATCAAAGCTGGATTTTAAAAGCATTATATTGCAGTCATACAACTTTTTTATTCTATAACATCTTGGTATCCTGTATCATTTAATGCAACTGTAATTTCTGAAGCACTTCTGCAGCCTTTTTTTTTTTTGAGACAGTCTCACTTTGTAGCCCCAGCTAGAGTGCAGTGGCATCATCATAGCTCACTGCAACCTCAAACTCCGGGGCTCAAGCGATCCTACTGCCTCAGCCTCATGAGTAGCTGGGACTAAAGGTGTGCACCACCACACCTAGCTAATTTTTTCTATTTTTTGTAAAGACAGGGTCTTGCTCTTGCTCAGGCTGGTCTCCAGCTTCTGAGCTCTGTCTCCAAGAGTGTTAGGACTAGAGGCACAAGCCACTCTGCTCGGCCCACTTCTGCAGCCTTCTATGAGTTAATATCTAGGTATTCAGCTACTAAATCCTGTGAGAAAGTCACCAAATTCATATGCCATAGTGCCTGCTAGTGAATGAATGAATGATCAGGATCACATATTAAATATAGTAAATTTAAGGAGATTGATACATAAATCATATGAGTTCCCAATAGGCTACATGACAATGAATATGCTTACCTTCATTTAAAAAATAAAAACATAATAATAGAAATATGGCAGGTTTTTAACTAAGAATAACAGTGTAATTTATATTAGACAATAGCAGAGAAATCTCAGAAAATCTGGACTCGAATCCTAAATCTACTTTGTCTCATGATTTGGTATAGAGACTCAGAAGGACAAAAGGGAAGTATATTCGGTTTTTTAAAAAATGAAAGAGACATCTAAGCTATGGCATGACTAGTAAATAGTTTATTAGATATATCATGGTGTAGTGGAAAGAACATGGACTGTGCCCAGCTCTGCCAGTTTTTAGAGGTAGACAAGTACTTAATGTTCTTTAGGCCTAAGTTTCCTTATTTTGTTCAGTGAGGGGACTGTACAATGTAATTCTTAACATCCATTTTAGCTCAAAATTCTATTGCTCAGTGGTATCTCTTACAGCTCCTATTTTCCATGAAACTATCTATATACTATAGGAGTAGTTAATGTTTTCATTACATACTTTCATGAAAGTATTTATAACTTAACCATAAAATTTGAACTCTGATCTAAATCCTCACTACAACTCCACGTACCTTTATATGAGGGTGAGGGTAAGATTACACCAAGATTTAACATCTCAAGATAAAAGATTAACCAAAGAACAATTCTGATGATATCTTGTTTCACCTACTACTAACAAAACACCCATAAGTGACTATGTGATATTTATGTTCATGAACAACAAAAAAATCTTTCATGTCATCATTAAATAACAAAAAAACTTTTGCTGAAATCATTAAAATTAGCCCAGTAAAAAGGCAAATGCACAGAAGTAAGTATAAGGATATTTATTTGATATATTGTGTTAACAAAAGATTGGAAACAATCTAAATGTACATTAACAAGAAAGGGCTAAACACATTATACAACTGGAAAACAGAATCATGTATAATGATTAAAAATAATGATTAAATAGAGGTAGTTCCTTATTAATCATAAGGAATAACTTATAAGAATTTTCAGATCAGGACAATGGACACAATGTCCTATCATTTGTACAAGAGAGGAAAACAAAATGAAATATTACATGTGCATCTCTGGACATTTACAGAAGGAACTAGTTAATAACAGCTGCTTCTGGAGAAAGAAAATGGGGGGGTCAGTATTATAAAAGTTGGAAGAAAACATACTTTTTTTAAAAAACCACTTTTAATACATTTTGAATTTTAGCTAGGCATGTCCTATCTATTTTCATTTTAAAAGGAACAAATGAAAAAATGCCCAACTGTATACATAGACACACATGCAAACACACATGGAAAATAGCCTATAAGGAAATACACCAAAAGTGGCACTTTGGGGGTGGTGCCATATAGGTGATTTATTTTCCTCCTTTTGTACTTCTTTGTAGTCTTCATATAGATCAATGAACATGTATTAGCTTTGTAATTATAAGAAGTTATACATATTTTTAAAACAAATGCAATTTCTGTAATTTTTTCATATATTAAGTACACATAGCTGTGAAAATACGTATTTTCTTTTATCAAAGCTCTGAGACTGTTTCACGCTGGGATTCCACACATTTGCTTCAGACTCACCCTGCAGTTATAGGGAGGATCCTTGAGACTCAAGTTTGTGAAAGACCCTTGGCGAGCATTCTTATAACTTGTCCCTGCTTCTTGAGCTATAAAAGCAGAAGAGAAGTGCTGAGTTAAGATTTATAAATTGTTATCAAATAAATCTTCAACAATGGCTCAGTCCCAGGTCAATTGCCAACTTCGAAACTACCCTAAACTTTCCAGCCACCTTATGGAATTCAAAATATCACATCAGATGACTCTTCTACCAGCCATCATTAAGAATGGACTCAAAATGCTACTCCTGTTCTTAATCTTAGATCAGTCACGTAGAGTGTGTGGGGGTGGCGGAGTGCTCTGTAGGTCAGTGGGTTTCAGCCGTGCCCTTTAGACTGTGACACTGTGGTGGCAAGGAACTGTCAACAGAGCCAATGTTGAGGCTGAGGCTCAAAAACAGTGGGGGCTGGGGGATTTAGGGGAGAAGGCCAGTGAGTCTGATCCCCTTTATCAAGGGAGAAATTGAAGGTGCCCTTTTCCATGAGGTGGTTTTGTGAAACTGGGGACACACTCAGGTCTGCTCTGGGACCCTAGTGACATTATCCAGAGTTGGGTGGTAGCTGTCAGTCCAAACACTAAATCCAGGCAGTAAGTAGGGCTCAGCATATGCTCAAAAGCCCTGAATGTCCACAGTTCTGCCAGCTTGTGCAGAAAATGGCGGTGCAAGTTCTTCCTTGAATGTCAGAGGTTAAGAACTGCTTGGCAGCATTTTGCAGAAGTCATGAACAAGGGCTATGGAGTCAGCAGATCTAGGATACAAAGAATATAAAGGGATATGATCTCTAGCCACAGGCTAGAGGGAACTATGGCCATTCAGATTCTGCTCCATCCACTTATCCAACAAATGAATCCCAACCAACCACACGTACTGTGCACAGGCTACTTGCTTTAGACTACTGAGAGGCCAAAATTCTTACCAGACTGCTTGTACTTCTGGATTTTTGTCTTCAGGTCTATTCTGTGAATGTTCTTTAGGCATTTTTCTAGTAAGTCCAATTGATCTGGAGCAACCAGATTTAGTTTCTCCAATTCAACCACAAGATCCAAGAAACTCTAAAAGAGCCACCAACAAGAAACAAATGTCAGTAGAGCTGACTAATACGCCCCCAAATGCAAACCCCAGGCCATGTGACTTGCAACAGCAAGAGAATGTGACAAAGTGAGCCCTCTCAATAGCCTTCAGTGACCCTAAACCAGACATCTCTGACATGAGAAGATTAGACTCCTGAATGTGACTCAGAACAGAGGGGGTGGTCATCGACTTCCTGGGTTGGGGATGTGCCATGTTATGTCACCAAGGAGGACCGTGAAAGAGCAAGCCTAAAAATAAAGCCTCCTGAATTCATTCTCTCCAGAAAGGCCAGCCTGGTGTTATACTGAAAAAGTCTAAGAGTGTCCCTGAAAAAGGGAGAGAAAAGGTGGCTGGTGAAAAGGTTTTATGAGAAAAATCTCAGTCATAGAGTTTTAAAGTTCCTAAAATTTTTGAATCAATGCTGGACATTCCAACTCATTCTGACTCAGGGGTGAAATTACAAGGTTTCAGTATTTTGGCATTCATTTACTTTGGGCCACAGGGATTGCGAAAGAACTGTACTTCAGAAGCAGCATTGCTTTTGGTTTTATTTCCTTTGCCTTTAACATTTTGTTTTGGTTATTTTTTTTTTGAGACAGAGTCTTACTCTGTCACCCCAGGTAGAGTACGTGGGATCACTATAGCTCACTGCAGCCTCAAACTCTTGGACTCAAGCCATCCTCCTGCCTCAGCCTCCTGAGTAGCTGGGAATATAGGCACATGCCACAATGCTTGGCTAATTTTGCTATTTTTAGTAGATACAGGGTCTCACTCTTGCCCAGGCTGGTCTTGAACTCCTGGTCTCAAGTGATCCTCCCACCTTGGCCTCCCAGAGTGCTAGGATTAGAAGCATGAGCCACCAACATTTGATTATTGATGTGCTATCTTTATTTTTAAAAATAATAATCATAATTAACTATACATAAATGACTGAGAGAAAATTAGGAGAAAGGAGTTCTATTTTGTATTTTCCCTCTCATTTTGCATTTGATGGTAGGAACATACAGTCACCCTATATTTTCAGATTTCAGAAATGAAACTATAATCATTTAGGAACATGAGGAAATTCTCAAGCAATGATATACCAGAGTCCTTAGAACTGCCTGGTCCATGGCTTGTTAGGAAGCAGGCTGCACAGCAGGAGGTGAGCGGCAGCTGCTTCCCATCACTGCTTACGTCACCACATAAGCTCCTGAGCTCCCTCCAACCCCCAAACTCCAGATCTGTGGAAAAATTGTCTTCCATGAAACTGGTCCCTGGTGCCAAAAAGGTTGAGGACCGCTGCCTTAGAGGCAGGCCAACCACTTTGAGGACCTACTGCCATATACTAGAGACCCAAACATTTCTTGACCTTCCTTAGGTCAGCAGTATCATATAGGGCCAACTGGAATTTAAATACTCTTCTAGCAATCACAGCGTCCCTGAGATCTTCACCTTTTCAACCCCAGACACATCAGTCACAAGGATCTTCCCCTACCCCACCTCCACATGCAACCTAATGACCCCACAATGACCTCAATTGAGCTAGCTGAGGAGAAGCAGATGACAGCAGGAAAGCATGGACTAGCACTTCCTACCTGTCTCTGCTCAGCACATGCAGATGGGACTTCCTACCCCAACCCCACAGTCTGTCAAACCAGGAAGAGAAACTGATACATACATATGCCAGACCTATGGCTTTCACAGAAATAAGGATAAAATCCAAGAATGAAAGAAACACCCAAGGCAACACCAGACAATATCCTGTTTCTTCTTAATTCATAAACCAATTCTCTTCCCACCAATGTTATTATCAAAAAATTACCACAGATGTCTGACTGCCTGCTTCCCTCTCTCCACACCGTAAGGAGCAACTTCTGATAGGCTCTTGGAGACATGAACCAAGAAAAAGAAAACTTACCTTGTCTTTGGATGTCTTGCCTCGGCCTGTGTAATCCTTCATGAGGAAAATTAAAGAAGACACATCCGATTTATCCAAGTCCTCACCAATCTCTGCCATCAGCACCCTATAAATCAGATAAGTTTCTTTAGTTAATGTAGACTCTTGTCCTAATGAGAACTCCAAGAGCCCATGCCTCTCCTATACCAAAAATTGGTTAAAAGACTAATTTCTTGGCTGGGCATGGTGGCTCACGCCTCTAATCCTAGCACTCTGGGAGGCTGAGGCGGGAGAAGCTCAAGATCAGGAGTTCAAGACCAGCCTGAGCAAGAGGGAGACCCTGTCTCTACTAAAAAAAAAAATAGAAAGAAATTTGCTGGACAACTAAAAATATATAGAAAAAATTAGTTGGGCATGGTGGCACAGGCCTGTAGTCCCAGCTACTTGGGAGGCTGAGGCAGAAGGATTGCTTGAGCCCAGGAGTTTGAGGTTGCTGTGAGCTAGGCTGACGCCACAGCACTCTAGCCTGGGCAAAAGAGCGAGACTTGTCTCCAAAAAAAAAAACACTAATTCTTTTCTGCCAAGGAGCTGCTATAAAAAAGAAAAAAAAGAAAGAAAACGAGAAAAAAACCACCAGTTCTTGCCCTCCATGTGAATGCATCCCTCTCCCATAAAACAGAAAGCTTAGATCACCCCAGGAAGAGATCTCAAGGGGACTCAAAAAGGAAATTCATCCTTTCTTCCGTTTTCAATAGGCGATAGTATCTCCCTTGCCAACTAACAGCTTCTGATAACTGAAGAGAATGGAAACTTCCCTAAAGAATCCCCTAGTTCCCCATGAAGTTACAGCGAAATGAGATAAGAACCCAAATGACTAACATAAAAGACAGAAATAGTATTCAAAGTGGCCTGTCAAAGCAGCCTTGTGAAAGCGGCCTTGAGAAGCTCACAGGTGCTGATCCAGGGACCATATGTTGAGTTGTAAGATACACTAAAGGAAAGTAACACCTGCAGGATCCTGGCCCACTTCTGAATTTAAAGGGTGCAGGTGTCTGGATCATGGGGAGTTTGATTTTAGATGTCTTTGTCTAGAAAGCTCCTCCTGACTCACTCATCTGTGCTCCAGCTGGAGCTACCACCACACTTTTTATTTATTTATGTTTAAAGGAAATACACTTTGAGGACCAACCACTGCACTTGATCAGGGTTCCTAGGACACCTCATGGTTCACATTATTACTATGTCAGTCATCAAGGTCATTTTCCCAGTTAGACTCTCAGATTTTTTAGGATGGGAGATTATTTATTCATTTTGCCCTTGAGCTTACTGAAACACATGCCAATACACGATGTAGCCCACTCACCAGATGAATAAATCTAGCACTCCCCTTTCACTGCCCAGTCTCTTTTCCCAGAGGCCTGAAGAATAATCTCCATTCACCATAGCAAGGAAACGAGAAATGGAGAGAGTGCTCTAACCCATGCAAGGAAACCCAGTCAGTGTCTCCCAAAGAGTCTGAAGAAGATGACTGACATCATAACTGATGGTTGGATAGCTGGAAGATGATCAACAATAACAACAACAATAATCATCCCTTGCATCTGTGGAGTGCTTCGCAGTTTTAAAAAGTACTCCATGTAGTAAATTATCACAACTGATGCTCACAACCACCTTGTGAAGTTGGGTATTATTATCCTTCGCTTTACAAGGAGGAAAACAAAGGTCCATCCAATGTTAGTGATTGGCCCAGCCTGCATGATCCACAACTGGTAGGTCTGAGGGTTGGAACAGGCCTTCCAACTTCAAGCCTCATGTCCTCTCCAAAGCCCACATTGCTTTCAGCTCTCTTTAGTATTGTTCTTAATAATATACATCATCTCCAGATACACATTTGCTATATCAAAAAGCTAGCAGTGGCCGGGTGTGGTGGCTCACGCCTGTAATCCTATCTAGGAGGCTGAGGTGGGAAGACTGCTCAAGGTCAGGAGTTCGAGACCAGCCTGAGCAACAGCGAGACCCCGTCTTTACTAAAAAAAAAGAAAAATAGAAAGAAATTAGCTGGACAACTAAATATATATATATATATATATACATATATATATATATTTATTAGCCAGGCATGGTGGCGCATGCCTATAATCCCAGCTACTTGGGAGGCTGAAGCAGAAGGATTGCTTAAGCCCAGGAGTTTGAGGCTGCTGTGAGCTAAGCTGACACCACAGCACTCCAGCCTGGGCAACAGAGCAAGACTCTGTCTTAAAAAAAAAAAAGGCTAGTAGTGGTCTGGAGAAAAAGGAAACAACAATATAACGCTACAAGTTCTCTTCCTTTCCCCAGAAACTAAACCTTTCCAGTGGCTTCTGTGGCCCTTTCAACCTCTAAGTACCATGTGACTAGGAGAAGGAACAACTCAAAGGCTGTCTGAACTAATGGGGGGCTCCAGTGGCCATTCCCTTTTTGAACCAAAGGGGGCTTAGAGGTGGTTAATAGAATAGATGTTCGGTTTGGACTCCCCCAATCCTCTAAGGGCAGGAGCCACAGGAAGGGAGCCCACCCTGATGAACTTCCTAGGCAGGGGAAGGACGGACGGGGATTCCGAAGAGATGATGGAATTCTACAATAACAGGAAGATTACGTGACCCACTTCACTTGTTATTTCCTTTCTCAGTACAGGAAGTTGTCAGAGACTTAACACCACAGAAAACCAGCTAGCAAGCGCCACTGCAGACATCAGGCTGTCAGAGGCTGGCAAGAATTACTACCTCTTAGCTGTTCCTATCTATCTTCATTTCTCATTATTCTATCCTTCAGGCAAACATACACCATCTGTCCCTTCTGCATTCATATGATCCTAATTCCTTTAAGGAAGCATGTTTTAAGAATTCAAAGGCAGGAAGTGACATCACACGGCCGCTGGGTCAGTGGGAGAGTTATGTGGCTGCTCTGCTCGTCACCCTCCTTTCTATCACCCAGTAAAGTCTAGACCCTTCCCGCCCTCCCTGCAGTCCAGCCCTGGGAAGAGCTGATGAATTACCTATAGTCTGAAATAAGGTGCGGGTGCATGTGCAGGAGCCTCTCCACAGCCGTTCTGTCCATCTTCAAGATCCGCTTGAGCAGGTCAAAGCGCCTCACTCTGTAGAGCAGCTCGGCCAAGCCCTCAGCAGACAGCTTACCTCTCTCACTTAAAATATCCAGAAGCTCCCTGACATTCGGCTGAACCACATCTGTAGCAACGTCCCGGCACAAAAAAAGAAGCATCTCCTTTTCGTCCGTGTCGAGCGCCTCTTCCACCTGATGGATAACCTCAGCAGACACTGCACACAGTGTCATTTCAAGGCAGTGGAGCAGCACAGCTTGGAGCCAGTCAACAAAAGGCCATGAGGCTGTCAATTTCATTTCTGGAGGCTTTCTTCATTTCTCTCAGAATCCTTTCCAATGAAGCAGTGCTGTGGTCAAAAGGTAATTTTTTAAAAAAACTCCTCTTAGGCAAAGTGGGAGAACTTCTTTTCTTGCTGATCTCCCTAACCTAGTAGATTCAGTTCCTATCGTTAAGTCTACAGAAAGGGATCCTCAGTGGGCAAAGCCAAAAACCAAGACTAATTAAAAAACCAAGAAAAACAGAGAAAAACCTACTTTTTAAAGGAAATGAAACCAGAGACAAAATTATCTCCAAAAAACCCTGTATGCCTTTTCACAATTCATCATAATGGAAAGCACGGTAAAGGGAAAATCACAATGGGGGAGGTTAATGACTAAAGTCACGATAAATGACCTTAGTGGGAGGAAGATGGAAAAGCCCAGTGACGAGACATGCTGATTAGATCAGTGAAACTCCACTATCAGTGACCTCACCCACGTGGGCTTGAACAAAGGGACCCTCTCTGCAATGTACTGTAAATAACGGAGAAAAGGGGTTTCTGTCCCTATGCCACCCCAGTTTTCCAGTTGCTCTCCTGCTTCACAGTCCCTCACTCACACCTGTGAGCAGAAGCCTCTGCTGCCATCCCCTCAGTGCCCCAAGCCCTTTGCACAACTTCATCCTGAGTGCTCACAGGACTTGCCACCACGTGAACAAAGGCTTTGTCAAGCTTTGACCAGGTCTTCAGACCCTGAGCACCCCAACTCTCAATACCCTGTTACATGGCAGCAATTGCCAGCAGCATTCCTGATGGTCTCGGTGGAAGAAAGGAAGTGAGACAGAAGAATTGAGGCAAGGTCTCACTCATAGGGTGGGGCTTGAGTGGAACTTGAGTAAATGGTGAGGTGTTCAAGCCATGGGTGTGTTCTTAATTTCTTCCATTGGAACTTAACATATTTGCTTTCAAAATTTTAGATGCAAGTGGCAGTCATTGTCTACTCTTAAGTTTTATAGCTATAATTTATGTTAAATCAGTTCGTATGTACTGGGCCAGTACTTATGTGTTCCTACAAACATTTCAGGTTAAAACCTAATCTTATCAAAAAATAATTGGATAAAAATAATAATAATTGGAAACACAACTCAACTATAAGTTACTAATAGTTGCTTGGTATTAATGTACGAGTATATTTATATATTTTCTAGCTATATTTAGTGAAAGGAGCACTCAATTTATCTTATGTATTTATGTACAGTATCAGCCTACAAAAGATTTGGGGCATTTTACCGTAAAACACACAAATAGAAAAATTTTATATGAGAACAAGGGGAAAAAATTAGGTTAGAAACTTGTAATGGGGTGGGAGGATAGAGAGTACAATGCAAATATATAGGCTAAAAGGGCCCAAACAGATTTTAGTATACTATAAATTTGTCCCTGAGCTTCCTGGCAGTCAAAGCAAAAAGGGATACATGGGAGGTTAAATAGTTCTTATTATCAAAGCAAAGAAAAAATAAAACAGTTTCTTAGAAGCATAGTTTTCCTGGAGTTCCACAGTTCCCCATGAGTTCTTTAGTGTCTGAAAATAATCAGCTTCCATTTAAAGTAATTAAATACCTTTAGTAAAGTTATATTTATTTTAAATTTCATATTTACAATTTTTTAAGTATTTTATTTTAAAATAGATCATTTATACCTTTCACACTGGCCTTCCCAAAACCAATCTAAATAGGTAATAAGCTCATACCAAAAGTAGATGTTTTCCCTAATGTACACTTACTAATAAGTATTGGTGTGGCCATGCCAATTCTATGCCCATTCATTCATCCAACCTTTGCTTAAATAAGGCTATTTGTGAATAACTGGAGAAATGAAATTTCCTAAAATGATTACCCAATGAAAGTGGAAAAACTGGTATTCAGACTACTTTAATTTTTTTCATCTGAAAGATATATACTAATTTTGTGTGTCCTGGCAAGCCAAAATATATTCTCTACTCACATGGCAATGGTGCTTTGATCTAACTACCAGTTTCCATGAAAAGAAGGTCAAGTTCTTTTTCTACTCTACTCACTAAAAGTCACAATTTGGTCTATTGTTGTTAATTATAAGTTAAACCATAAAACATTTACACACACTAGAAGGAATAAAATAAACACAAAAATAAAATCATTAAACACAATCATAAGAAATGAGATATTATACAAATTCACCAGACATACTTGAAAAAGAACCAACAGAACCACCAGAAATAAAATGTTTAATTCCCTATTTTTTAAAAACACTCAACTTTTGTAATCATAATTATCCACAATGTGACAATGCCACCAAGAGTTAACAAAATTATATAATCGTTTTAAAAAACATTATCTGCTTGTTTCATTTCCTCCGACCGTTATACCCATAGCTGCCTTCTGCCAGTCACGCACACCCGGCAAGAGCACTGGCATGCTGTCTTCCCTCTGTGCTAATGGGGTATCATTTGGCAGCAAAATCCAAATTACTCAGTGGTAGCATCTGGCACACTGAGAGAAAATATCAAAAGGAAACTACAGATTGCCGTGCAGAGCGAGGGCCACTCAGATGCAGCAAAATATCAGTGTGTGCTTGATGCTGGGGAGGTGCTGGGGCCAGTTAATTGTGGCTAGAGGCAATGGGCACTTGAGAAAGGAGAGTACACAAGGCTAAAGTCCAAATAATCACCCCCTGTTGAGGTTTCTTTTAAGTCCAAGCCAAGAAATTGACATGAAAATGACTCTCAGACTAGGGAAGCCTATAAGGTCTTCATAGACCAACTTAAAACCACCCCATAAGACCCCCTTTCACAACCCAGGGCATATGAGACATCCAAGGAATAACCTGTGCTGGAGGTAAGCTCATGCTTAAAAATTACTATGCACAAAAATAAAAATCACCATGACAGTAGACAAAATGAGTAGATAGAATTCACATCCTAGGAAGCTACATCTGGAAGAGTTTAAAATAAGCATCTTAAAATTACTTCAAAGAGATAAGAGAATTTTCTGCGATATGATAGGCCAGATCAATGCTACTTAATCAGGCTGATTTTGCCTCTTAGGGGACATTTGACAATGTCTGGAGACATTTTTGGCCACCATAACCAGGTGATGTTGCTGGTATCCAGTCGGTAAAGGCCAGGGATGCTGTTAAACGTTCATCACTGCACAACCCTCCCCCCCAAACAATCATCCAGCCTAAAACATCTACAGTGCTGAGACTGAGAAACCTCGTGCCAGATAATTTGAGAAAACTCTGGCTTCAGTGTACACAGAGAAGCCAATAAAACATAAAAAACATTTACTCAAAAACACAGCTCAGATGTAAGAAAGTAAACAAAACTGTAGGGGACCAAAAAGACAAAAAGAGCTAAAAACTACAGTGGCAGTTGTTTAAGATTTACTGTATATAATAGCATCAAAACAGATAACATGGATGAATGATTCCAACAAGATATGTAAGGGTTTCCTTAATGGAAAAACCCCATAAATTATTGAAAAAACATCAATAAAGCCCTAGATAAATGGAGAGCTATACTTCATTAATGGAAAAATTCAATATAATAAAGATGTAAATTCTCGGAAACAATGATCTATGAATTAAAAGCAAGGGACTTACCAGATTTCAATTTATAAACAGTTAAATAGTAATTATGAAAGAAAAAAAAAAAAAACCCATAGCAAATATTCTACTTAATGGTAACATGTTAGAAGCATTCCCTTAAAAATCAGGTTTGATAGCACTCTGGGAGGCTGAGGCGGGCAGATTGCTCGAGGTCAGGAGTTCGAAACCAGCCTGAGCAAGAGTGAGACCCCCGTCTCTACTATAAATGGAAAGAAATTAACTGGCCAACTAATATATATAGAAAAAATTAGCCGGGCATGGTGGCGCATGCCTGTAGTCCCAGCTACTCGGGAGGCTGAGGCAGAAGGATTGCTTGAGCCCAGGAGTTTGAGTTGCTGTGAGCTAGGCTGATGCCATGGCATCACTCTAGCCTGGGCAACAATGTGAGACTCTGTCTCAGAAAAAAAAAAAAAAAAAAGGCGGGGTGGGTGGCTCACGCCTGTAATCCTATCTAGCCTCTGGGAGCCGAGGCGGCGGATTGCTCAAGTCAGGAGTTCGAAACCAGCCTGAGCAAGAGGACTCCATCTCTACTATAATAAGAAAGAATTAATTGACCAACTAATATATATATGTATACAAAAAAAAAATTAGCTGGGCATGGTGGCACATGCCTGTAGTCCAGCTACTTGGGAGGCTGAGGCAGCAGGATTGCTTGAGCCAGGAAGTTGAGGTTCGTGGAGTAGGCTGACGCCAT